GCAGCTATGAAACTAAGATTAGGTTGAAGCCTAGGTAGTGTTTCTCAGTTCAAACTGGATGATACAAATAGAGGTCACCAGAAACCAGAAGCAGTAAAATGCAGGGACTAGGTAACAAAGCCTTGCTTGTGTCTTGATGACCTGACGTTTGCCTAACAACATAAACAAACTCGAAAGCTTTCACTTAGTTTTGATAGGTTAGTTAAAAGACAATTTGAGAGTTAAAACACCTGCAAACTTTGGCTGTGAGAAAATCTGACCTGTAGATGCATTTTGGGCCCAATTTTTTTCAGAAGTCTTTTGGGGAACAAGTTTTTTCAGGTGAAGTTAACTGTAGTTAGAAGGGGCAAACTGCATATTCCAGCATTTGTTAACCACTTCAAGCTAGACTGTATGTTTTGTGAATAGTCTACAGTGGCTGAGCACTTCTAGCACACTCTGCATACTAATTATCAAAGCATCCTGAGTGCCAAATGAACATAAAGCTAATATTTAATACAGCACCTTCCAGTAATTACAATTATGCAGGAAGGCATGTAGTCCATTTGTAATGAAGGAAGGTATTGAAAATAATAGTCAAATTTCCCTTTTGTTTTCTCTCTGAGGATTATTACTGACCTTTGTTTGCATAAAAATAGTTCACTTTAGAGTGACTGCATAGAAAAATTACATAGCTAAATATTAAATGTTTTCTCCCTTTCTCAAGCATTATCTTGAATTTCTTTATAAAACTTTGAGGTTTAAAATCATACTGAAGCTTTCATTTAAGGAACCCTTAAATGCTTTGAATTGTGGAAAGGGTGGAAGTATCTATATCTGTGCAATCTCCATTTAAAAATAAAGAAAAATGCGCAAAGTAAAATAAGGATCAGATAAGAATGTCAAAACCAAGAATTATGTTACACAATTTATGTAACTCATACATTTCAGGAAGTATTAGTTGTATTATGGGCTGTCTTTTTCTGTTCTTTGAAAGACCTACAATTCTGAACTCAGTGAAATCTCAATACAAAATATAAATGGCTATTATTTATAATTGCTACAAGCTTGTGCAGTCACTATTCAAAAGCTCTTTTGTCAGCTTTTTCCTGTAGTGTTTGTCTGCAAATGTGAGTTCCCGGAGAAGTTCAGTTCTTCAGCCCTGTGAAACAGTAATACAACAACGCCTCTGTCACTCTCTCTGTAGACTTGGAGCTTTTACTTTCTCTCCCGATCTTTTGATTGGCAGATTTTAAAACTAGAGCAGATCATTACTGTTCTCTGATTTCACTTCCTCTGGTGTTAAATGGTTCTAAAATGGCATGTAGCAAGGCAAGTAACTTTTCATTAGAACTTGCAGAAGCCTTTTGGAATGTATTTCAATCATGGTATAAAATTATAACGTGATGGCAGAAGCTTTCCTTGCCCTTGGTAAGTGCTTCCAGTACCAATACTCATCATTTGAAAAAAATGTAGTGTCTTCACCTTTTGAATTACCTTTTTGGGGTTTTCTGTTTTCTTATGTCTTTGTGTCTTGGAAACCACTCTAGTATTATGAGTTATTTTGATTTGAAGCTACTTCTATGATTATGACCTTCAAATCTTTCTGTGAAATATGAGTTCCCTTGTTTCAGCATGTTGCTGAAGGAAGGACTTTTATTAGAAGGACTTCAAACATCTTTTTTTTTTTTTTGTTTTGCCATTGTTATTCTTAAAGGGCACATTATTTCCATGATGGCCTTCCCAGTAATGCATACTATAATGGTTTACCTACAGTTCTTGTTATGTTTGCTGGCTTTGGGCTAAAAGGATATGTATTCTCTAGGAACAAATCTGGAGAGCTGCTTTCCAATGTGACTTCCTCCCTTTCCTCCCATCCTTTTTGAAGGTGCATCCTTACTGTGGTACAGTCTTGTTGGCATGATCTTTATATTTTTGTAACAAGTGACATTTTGTCTTTAACTCCTGAGCTTCCTTAGGAATTTTGAAGAAATTGCTTTGGGTTTGTTTGGTTTTTCTTTTGGATCTCTCTGTAAATGCATGCTATTTATCAGCTATTAAATTATTACTATGTAATGCAAAATGCTTATCGTTCAAAAAGCTTTTCTCCTTATCCGTGTTTAAAACACATGGGTGCAAGGGGGTTTATTGTGAGTGTTTTGTTGGGTTTTTGGTTTTGGTTTTTTTTTGTGGTAGTGGTTTTGTTTGGGTTTTTCTCAAAAATTAAGGAAAAAAGCCCTGTCTTTAGCTTGCTTGTGAGATTGCTTTCATTGAGAGCAGTCACTTCTAGAAAGAATTAGGTATTTTATGCTTAAGAATTTGCATTATTTATTGCATATACCCGTCTTGCTCTTCTTTCCCAGAAAGTTCAATTTTCTTCCTAAGCCCAGCTGTGCAGTTCAGTAAAAGCATTTTGATGCATTAACTTGGGGAACGCCCCACCTAGTGGATAATCACAAACCCATTTTCTCATTGCTCCAGTTCGAACAGACTTAAGGTTATGGTGGATTAACTTAAATATTACCCATGTTCACTGCCAGCTCAGGAAATTGGTTAAATAGCTGGGTTTTCTTTCCCCTTTGTCTTATGGGCTGAGGGTGGTGGTGTTTAGGGAACTGGGAAAGGTAAAAAGGGAATTTACATGAAAATAAGTCTCAAGTTGAAAAGGCGTCCAATTACCTATAAATGTTTTAACACATAAATTAGTTACAAGGTATGGTGCTTAAAATGGCCATCTACAAAACTAGAAAAAAAAATTTTCAGAAATATCAGAAAATTTTTATTTTCTTTTTAATTTATGTTGTTTTCTTTTATATTGTCCACTGAGAAATGGAAGATGACATCGCTTACTGAAAAAAGGTGTTTAATATCAAAGTTAAGGAATAAGTTCTATACTGTACACTTCTTCACTGTTCAGAAGTTTATGAAACAGTCTACAGAAAAAAACCCTTAAAAACATAAGTTCCTATTCTGGAAGGAATTTTGGTTAAATTAAATTCTGGTTAAATATCTTCCACCAAGTGAAATATACCAAAGTTTCTAAATCTAGATTTATTTTTTTTTTAATCATTTTTTTGTCAGTTACAGTTACCTTTTCAGGCCTTCAGTCTTGGGCAGGCTTAGAGTAATGCTAGTTTTACCTAGTTAATTTTGTATTAAGTTAACTTATGTGTACTGTAAACCATCAAGCTTTAAGCATTTACTTAGAGGAATTGTACTTTCTTTGTGAATAGTTCTCTTAGTCTAGGTGGGGTGCAGTTTCTGCAGCTGAAATAAGTATGAGTAAAGGTAGTGGTGTGTATGAAGAAAATCTTTTTTCCATATTTGCTTGGGCTTCATAGTTTTGTATCGCTTAGCCAACATGGTCTGTTTCATCTTTCTAAAAAAACCCCAAAAACATTCTGATCACACAAGGGTGTGTGGTTCAATAGGGCTGCTGCCACTGGGTGGGTTAGGGTAGTTTATGTGGCACAAGAAGGGGCCAGGGGAAAAGTAACCCTTAGTTTTGGAATAAATGAATGGCCTTCATTCTTCTGCTAAATGAAAATAAAAATCATAACAGTTCCTGTCTTACTTCCTCTGAGATTCTCAAAACTCTTCAGTTACCTCTTCTGCTTAATGATGTTGTGTAACAGTGAAGAACTTCAGACTGAAATTACTGCTTTGGAAAAATATTTTTCTATCTAAATCAGATGGCATATAGTCTGCTTTTCTGATGCTTGTCCTAATCTTGATGTGTCCCAAAAATAAATCAAGGCTTCAGAACCAGCAGTCAGCAGTGGTTTATGTGTTCTTGGTTTGGGGATGGCATGGAGGGGAGAGGGGAAAAGAGGAATTGTCCAATCTCACCTCACACACACAGCTCTTCCTGATAGGTGGTGTTACACTGCCCTTCATGGAGGTGTTCTGCTTCACTGGAAAGTAAATCTAAAAGCATACCTGTGGAAGAAGTACAATTCATACAATTTAGAGACAAAAACATACCCTAATGAGAAAGTTTGGGATGAGCAAAGGAAATTACTTTTGCCCTTTGAGTCAGTCTCCTTTCTAAGATAAGAGGTGGTAAAGTGTATAGCAAATGCATTAAAACCAATTTAATGTTCAGGTGCAGTCATTATTTTATTTATGTATGTATCTGTAAACTTCAGAGGGCAGTGTGTTCAGTACAATTGAATTCCTGGCTATGCTGAAGTGTTTATTCAGACTTGCATTTATATTTGCTTATAAATTTTACTGAAATGTGTTGTATGAATGGAATATAAAATCCAGGCCATCGTGGATAAAATACCATTACTTAAGCAGATCTGAAAAGGTATCTTTTAATTTTTATTTTTTTTTTGTGTTTTTTCCCCAAGAAGCAAGATATTTCTAAAATTTAGAGGTTGCTATGTTGTGTGGGAAATCTACTGCATTAGCACTAGATTTTAAAAAGTTGCTGGTTCACCTAACTCTAACCCATCACGAGGTTGTGGGCTTTAAGAGAAGCAGAGGTGGAAAACATGGAGTATTTTTAAAAATGCTTTCATAAGTCTCTTCAATGACAAGTGGTATTATGCTATATTTTTTCTGCTCCTTTTCTTTGTGCTTGATAGCACTCATAAATATTGCTATATATAAAAGGGATTTTTTCAAATTAATATTTTGTTTCCTTGCTTAGACGAATGTCAATCCTCCAATCTCCCAGCATGCTTCTAACTTAAACAATACTTACACAAATACAGAGTTCTCAATTTTGTTTAATTGTAGCCTGGTTGTAATACTTGTAATAGTGATTATTGACAAGGGAATAAAAGAGTTCAAGTTGGACCCCACAAGATTTCTTTTGGTTTGCAGCAAGTGTATTCTACCAAAGCAGGTCTGAAGCTGGTTTTGTTCATCATGTTTAAATTAAACCACCTTTCCAATAAACCGTTACCTTAAAATTGAAAATGGTGTAAGCTTGTGCATGGTTTTGAAATACTGGTGGCAGAAGGGATAGAATTTGTAAGATTTTTAATGTCTTTTTTTTAATCTTCATGCAGGCACACATCTATTCTTTGGGTGCAACACTGAAAGCAGCAATAGAATATATTGTAGAACCTGAGACAGAATCAGAATTTGGACAAGATCTGCACACTCTGCTGGAACAAATGCAAGAAGAGAATCCTGAAAATAGGCCTGATATTGAGGTAAAACTGCCCTACATAGGTTTTTGTTCTTAAAGAAATTATACTAATATTTCTATATGTGTGCTAGAATAAAATTTCTATTCATCTCATTAGTCTCTGTAATTCTCAAGATGGTCTTGATAACCAGTATGCTCAGGTTTTGCAAAAAAGCTGAGGTCTTCTCTGATTCTGCAGAAATTCATCCTTTTTCCCACTCTAATGGATATACCTCCTAAAAAGTAGATGTAGATGTTAGACAGTGCTTGGATTTTTAAGAAGGTTGGGTGAATACATTGATGGATCTAAATTTTCTCATTAACTGTTTTCTTCCCATTTAATATTTGGTTTACAGAGAGACAGAGTGTCATTAGAAATAAAAGCACAGGTATTATGCTGTGAAATTTGTGTGATAATTGGATTGCATATAAGGAGGGGATGTTTGGACCCTGCCCCAGGAAACCTCTGTTCCTTGGCATGTTCAAAGCATTACTGCTAACCAGTTTTTCTGTAAATACATAAAGGCTTAGATATCTTTCTTGGATTTTGTATTTTATTCTGTTTAGCCTCTTATTTTACCTTTAGCTGTTAGAAAGAATTTGAAACTGTATAGGATTTTTCAAGCTGATGTTTTAAAATAATTTACATTCTAAATGTTGGTTACCTGATAGTTATTTGATATTAATGTGCCAAAGTTTAACTTCAATGTTTTTGCAGAGTGTGAGAATGTAACCAGAGAATAACAGTTGTGCAATGTGATTTTTCTTGGCTTCAGTTCTTCTACTTCAGAATAGTGCTATATACTTATTTTTATTTTTTTTTTGGGGGGGGGAGTGGGGGATGGGTAGGGCACAGGTGTTTCATTTTCCTGAGCTGATAGTGTATATCCTAAATGGTATAGCACCTATGATCATTACTTTGCAGAAAGACTGCTGCAACAGAAGAATTAACAGATTCATTTTTATAAAGTAAAAAATACTGGCTCCCTGACTGAGGACTGCCCAAGCAGGAGACCGTACCTATTACAGAGCCTTCTTGGTCAGCTGCTCTATTTCTGTTCGTTTACTGTTGTCAGAGGAGGGAGTGTATAGCACTCTGTCATCTCGAGGTGGTCTGTAGACCCTGAAAGCTGTTGCCAACTATTTAAATCATCCCAAAAAATAATAGGTTTTGGGTAATATATAGGGGTCACTCTGTGTGTTTTTTTCCTGTTTCTTTTCCCCTGGACACTTTCTTGGGTGAACAGTTGTGGGAGCTATTTGGAGGGAAAACCCCTAGACTTTTCTAGGCATTTTTTGAGACTTCAGCACGGCTGAATGCCTGTCTCCCTTTTCCCTCCCCTTCCTCAATCCCATAAATGAACCAACAGGGCCAATTCCTTCCTTCAATGCACAACAGCAGAGGAGCAGTTGAGTGGGTTAATGGGGAAGTGAGAGCATCTCCTAAGAGCTGTATGAGGTCTCATCAGTGTTTATCTAGGAATAGTTACTGAGGAAATGGTGGGATGTATTTGGAAAGGCAGCTCTCTTCTATATCCTGCCCAAAGGGACAGGTTTTTAAATGTGTGAATATCTGTAGTTAATTATGTGTGAGACCAATGCTAATGCCATCAAATGTTGCTCAGGCTGCAGATTAGAGATACAAAGTACTTCTTCTTGTGATCTGATAATGATTGCTTTCTCTAACTGGGAATATTGATTATTAGATACTTGTATTTTGCAGTTTTTAAAAGATTCAGGGTTTAATTTTAATGTAATTTCAGTAATAAAAGCATTCATCATCCTGCCTGTGTCACTAAATTCAGGCAAAGCATTGGCTGCTTTAAAAAGTAATCAACGCTCTAATTTTTTTCATTTTCACTATGTTATTCATAAAGGATAGCATTTAAGATAATTTTTATCTGTATTTCTTGATGTTCTAACTGCAGGCTAAAACTTGAATTGTATTAAATGACTTCATAATAGCCCATGGTAAAAACAAGAAATTAATTCAACCACATAATAGAAACATGCAGTATAAAGAATTAGAGAAAAAGATTGCCTTTGTAGCATCATATAAATTCAGATGTACTGTGGGAGTTAACATCATTCATGTTAGTCAAAATTCACAAATCTATTCATTATTAAATAAGTATTTAACATTAATTTTCTCTAGAGCATTTTGTCATTATGTGAGGAAAAAATGAAGATTGCTTCATCAAGTAATATTTGTCGAAGCTTGTCTGCTGTTGGAAGAAGAGTTCTTTCAATTGAATCATTCGGTGCTTCTCAAGGTAACCTTAAAATGTATTTAGTCTAAAACTTTAGATTGCTTGACATATCTAATGCTTTTTCAAAGACAGTGTTTGTGACATCTCCTGTTATAAGTTCCTTTCTAGATTACAACAAATCATTATTAAATATTTGTAGATTGGTGATGGGGAAACAGGAACATGCAACTCTTAATTAACATAATATATTTAAATTGTCTCTTATGATTCAAAGTGATTTGTTCAGAAATTGAGAATTTGTGTAACATACTAAAGATATGTAACAGCAATGACAGAAAAAGCAATAGAAAGATTTACAAGGAGAGATTAGAAGGTTTAAATACACATTTAATATAAGCATTTGTTTTTGTATCTAGATGTCTGTGATAACATGTGGAAGGGAAGAATGTGTCAGAGAAGTTTGGGATCTAAATTATATTCAAATGAGAAAAGCAACATTGTAGGTGATTCGTCTGCAGTGGAAGAGGTGACGACTGCCTGTCATAACAACTCTTCTGTAGTTACCATGGTGACTGGCAGAGAAAGTCGTTTAAAGGAAATGCAAATTGATCTGGATAATGAGAAAACTCAACATTCTCAACTTGCAACTCAAACTGAAAAGAGCAAAGAAGAGGACAAACACGCAGTGTATACTGACAGTTTTGCTAGTGTTGCTTTGGACATAAAATCATGTGTTATTGACCTGGAAAGAGATGGTCTTTTTAAGAAAGGTTCTTTGAGAAAAATGAAAACCTTTCCAAAGCTACCACTCGAACTTACAGATACAAATAACTTTTTTACTTCTGTAACCAACAGTGGACCACTAGATAGAAAAAATCACTTTGTAACACAAGAGTCACTACCTCTAGACAATAATAATGAGGTTGCTTTTTCAAAGGGAAATCTCAATTCATTTGCTGTCAGTAGTCCACCAGAAACAGAATCAAAGAATCACCAAGTTGATGATCATCATTTAGAAGCGCCATGTGTATGCACGCAAGTGTCTGGCTTGAATCTAGATGAACATATGTCACTTATCAATGGTAAAAAGATGAGTTTTTCTTCATCTGGTCACAAAGAAGACTCTTCTGGTGCTACCTCTGAAGTGCTGAAACTAGGTGATATGTTAAAAGGCCCAAATCAGTCAATTGCTGGAGCAAAAATGTTAGACAACTACATGGTGTTGGAAGACTGTTCTGAAACTTTTCAGGGGTCAAATGAAAATTATGTACCACATTTTAACAAGATGGATTCAGTGTTAACAACAAAACCCAGTGGGACCAGACATGGATCAAACCTAATTAGGCCACCAGAATTAAGCAACGGTGTGATGAGTGCAAATAATAATGAAGATAACCTTTGTGGAGGCAGAGGTTCAGAAATCAAAAGTAATGAGCAGGTAGTAAAAATAAAGTCTTCATTATATAGTTGCTGTAGTCACTTATGTGGAGATGAGATGACTTAAATGCTGTGTGATTTCTTCCCCCTTGTTCCCTTTAGCATCCCAGAAACTGGAATTTTGCTAGTCTGCACACTTTAAGAGTTAATATTGGAAACATGGTGATCCTTTTCTCCTCTTAAATTAAAGTGCTACAGTGAAATTTATGCTGTTTCAAGATCAACTTCCATTTTAATTTATTTTTTTTACAAATGGAGTCTACTTTGCTGGTGTGTTAGAGCAGCATCCCTTAATAGCTGATTACATTTGTAAAAGAACATGACCAAAGCATACATGCATTTTTAACTCTTTATGTTACTCTCAATGCATAAATTTCACTACCTTGCCATGAGCCTCCCAGGTGCTTATGAAAATTGCAGAATTCCTGAATGTAAACCTGACCTCATTGAAATCAATGGCAATATCCCATCAGCTTCAGGAGGATAGTCCAAATTTTTTTTAATCTTACATGTACATTTAAGTTTTTGGAAACTGTACCTATGCTATATTCGTTCTGTGTTCTTAAATTGCCGTCTCTGTTTGTTATGTATGTTTCACTATAGAATTTAAATATGTGCACAATATGATGGATATGTTGTCTCATGCATTAAGTCTTTATGAATAGCCAAATAAGAGAGGGAGAATCTACCAGAATTTGTTGATAGATAACTGTAATATGGTCTCTTCTCTGCTCAAATTACATATCTCAGGGTGGACAAGTTTGGTCTCTGACTAGATGGTTTTCTCTTGTGCCACACTCAGAGGTGTAAACAATCCCTGTGGTAGGAGAGCTGCTGGCTAAAACTGCAGGGTTGCTTATCCTTCTCCTGCTTTGTTATGACAGGATAAAAATGAGCAGCACAAACTTCACAGATTTTGTTTCCAGAAATTATTCTTAGGTGATGATGTTGGATTTTTTTCCTTGCTTGTCTACTGGCAAGTCAGCCTTGCTCTCCTTGCCTACCAGCCCATCTTGCAGCCAACCCCTACAGTGGCACTTAGGGTTACATTCAGTCTCTGTCCCTCTTTTTACCTTACCTGAACACCTCCACTGGAGCACTAACCTAGAATTATCAGTTGTATAAAGAGCCTTTGGTTCATCATAGCTCAAAAACTAGAGCAAATTGAGGAATCTGTCCCTTTTTCCTTTTCTTATCTCTTCTTCCTCAACGGGTGTGCTTATTAAATTCCTAGTTCAGGAGGATAGTAAATGTGGTTAAGTACCACATGGCATGGTTTTGCCTTCCAAGGGGGTTATTTATTGTATGCATATTGAATCCTTTATTTAGTTTTTATATCCTGCAAGTGCACTCTTCAGACTCTGAGAAATAATCCATTTATTGTACACACATCCTTTTTTTTTTCTATTCCTGCCATCATAAGGAGGAGAAAAAAAAGTTTAAATAAGACCTACATCCTCTCCTTATCGGATTACCAGGGCAAAAGTTTAAGTCTGGGTGCATGAAGGTGGTTTTAGGAAAATAATTTTCCCCAGAATTATAGTTGTCCAAAATTCTTCCATGAAATTAAAAGCTGTTACGAATCTTATTTGCTTTTTTGCAGCAGCATTTGAGACTGACATACAGAAAAGTAAACCAAAACACATTTTCAGGTTATTCTGCCATTCTTCTGAAATCTTTCTCTTCAAATATTTCATCAGCAATTTAAATAAAGTGTCCTTGCAGCCTGAACAGAATTTCATTCTTGCAAACAAGTAGGCTCTTATTAACAGTGAGGTTATCCTGCTCCCACTGAATTCATAGGACAATCACTGTGAATTAAACAAGGTAACTCTTATTCCAGGTACCCTAATAAGCAGTGTCGTAATACATAGCATCTGAAATGAAGACAGCAGGATAGTGGCTCTTTGTTATATCTGAGGTTTATAGCTGTCTTTTCAGTAGAAGAAATGTTTGATAGACTCTTGCTGTAATTCTCTTTTTTTAGTAAATGATTCCAGCAAATGTTTGGGCTCTGTCACATAAAAATGTTCTATTTAGGAAAGTCTTGTTGGTCTTAAACAAAAAAAGCAAACATAATAAAATCTTTGATTATTTAACTGCTGTAGGGAGAAAAAAACCCCTTTAAATATATTCACACCTAGGCTTCTGAAATGGCTTCCTGAAATGCTGAGTTTCTAGCCTTGTAATCCTTTGTTTTCTGAAGGAAGGTCATTCATAGTTAGTAGTCATTGAACTAACTGTATAGCAGACTCTATTGCTGGTCTTCTTAGAGAAATCCAGTGGGTTAATGTTTTCAGCTTTTTTTTTTTCTTTTGGAAAAGAGACTTTATTCCTCAGGCTTCCAAAATATAGCAGTTTTTGCCTCTGTTACCTCCTGACAACTGAGGAAAAAAAAGGCTATACTGTGCTATCCCTTACATCCCAAAAGTACAGCTGCTGTCTGCTGTCTCTTTCAAGTTCCCATTGGCCAGAATTTTACCAAATACCTTTTTTTTTTTTTTTTTAAGAAAGCCCATGTTTGAGTTTGTTCATTTACTGCAAAAGCACAAGAAATGTGAAGCCCCAACAAATGTGATTTCTGCCTTGTGGGGTAAATAGAAAACACCTCAGAGGATTTGCAGTCCTGCTTTTTGCTGCATTCTCTATAACAGATCAGCATGATTGCAGCAAGTAGAGCTTTTAGAATGGTATCTCTAGCTTCCCTTTCAATATTTCACGTTGCTTAGAGAAGGTGCAATACCAGCAACATCCGGTTGAAGATCAACCTTGTCTACTCTGGAGAACAGACAGTTTTTCTTGCCTGTCAGTACTTCTCCAGTGGACAATATTTTTCTAATACTCAAACACTGCTTCTTATTGTTGTGTGCTTTACTGCTAGTAAGCATTACTAAAAATATTTGCTTGCTTTTGTCTGGCTACTGCAATGTATCTTGTGAGGATTTTCCTAGTAATTTTTATAGTTTTGCATGCCATAAATAAATATTTTTCACTTCAAGTTTGAGTGGGGATCTTTTATTTCTCTAACCAGTTTCATTCCAATCAGGTGTGTCTCATCTCTAATCCTTTTAAATGTTTCTCTGTGATTTAAATGCTATGGCCTTTGCTTGGGAAGGGTTAATGGGAACCTGGCAAATGCAAGTTTGTTTTCTGTTGGTCATTCATACCCTGTCAAGCATGAGAGAAGTGAAAGGCCATGTAGCTAGAGGCTGACACTTTAACACTGGGGAAATAACATGAAGGAAAGAAAAGTTGTCAGTTCCCAGAATAATACTTGCTAAGAAAAGAATGATGAAAATCTTGCTTTGGCTATTTAAAACATGTCAGCATTATGTTCATAAAATAGATTATGTTTGCATAGTTGGAATGCATTACTAAATTTGGGGTCTACAATTCTGGTACCAAAAATTAAGTAGAAGATCTGTTAAACAATCTTTACAGCACTGCAAAAAAAACATAGCTTTTCCAACAAGAAAGGTTTAAAATGCAATCTTTGGGCATCAATCAAAATGGCACTAGGATGTAGATATAGGCAGTAATAGCTCATTTGGCTTTTTTTGTATTTTCTGACAAAATTTCTATGCTGTGAAAAACATTTTCTTACTTTAAAAAATGGGTAATATAATTTCTGTTATGAAAAGGTCTGGTTTAGAACATACAAAAACTTGGAAAGAGACATTATAATTTTGTTTCCTCTTTAGTGCAGTTTCACTGATGATAATATATTAATGAAAGTTTAATAGCAATATTAAAATAATGTTAATGGTTTAAATGAAGTGGACTTAAAAATGCTGAGGAGTTGTCTTGAGCTTGCTTTGCTAAAATATGTGAATAGATAAGTAACAATGCATGCTACAGATGGTTTGACTAAAAGCAATTAATCATACATTTTCCAGTACTTCTGATTTTTTTTCTTGATGGTTGAGTGGGGATTTTAGTTTTAAGTTTTAGGAAATAGTAATAGCCATGAATCAGAGACTTGAATGTTACAAACCAAAACAGCTAAACCTGAGACATGCCTAAAAAAGGAGTTTTACACTTAAATGTTTACTAAACCAAGGTTCAGTGGAGTTAGATCGTGCATTGTGTTAAAATACCACAGAGGTAAGGTACCAAGAGCATTGCATTAAATTCCTTTTTTTAAGGATTGAGGCTTAACTAAAAGTTGTCTCATAGCCATAGGTTGAGAAGTGTGTTCTTTTTCCTTTGAAAACTCTTTGAACCAGACTGCATGCATTTTTCACCACAAATGCAAAGGTGTGATGAAACATGTCTTGTCACGTACCTTGACCACAAGGGGTAACTTCTGCAAGGTGTTAGAGGCACAAGTGCCCAGCAGTCTGAGCCCTCAGTTTTCATCTGAAGTCTTCCACATTTCTCTTTCTGGAGGAGGAAGATGGGAATTTGGATTAGGACACTAGAAGAATGACCTTCTCACGTATTTCGTTCAGGAATAATTAATATGATCAAGGTGAGGAGAGATGTGAATTATAGTAAGAGACAATAGCAGTGGAGGTATTTATTAGCATGACAGAAGACCAACTAGCACACAAATACCAGCTAACAATATTATATTTGAGGTTTCTTATTTCTTTAGAATGACTTCCAGAGAAACAACTAGCATATACATTTAAATAAAGTTCACCAACCTGTAACCAGTCTGCATCCTTTTTTTTCCTGACCCAGTTTGATTTGGCCATCCCGTAGATGGCAGTGGTTCTCATTTATGCTACAATTTGCTTTCCCTGCATACTTTTTTCTTCCAGAATAGAGTTTTTCTGGTGCATCTTCATCCTCTATTTTCTAATCTATCATTGACACTTCTGTCTTATCATAAACTTTTGCTGCTGCTCTTAGGATTTATTCTTACTCTCCTGCTGTGCCTAAATTTCTTTGCCATTTCTTTCTTACTCTAAAGAGCTTGGATATCCCAGAGGTGATGAGAAATACTTTGCAGCTTTCTGCTGTATAACAAACTTCAGCCTCCAGTTTACTGAAAAATTCTTCTTTCCCTGGCTGTTCGTCACCTTCTCCTGGAGTGAAAGGTGATTTGTATATGCAGTAAAGGAAGTCCATAGTTCTTTGCTGCAGCTTTTAGAGCCTCTAGAGATACAAGCTTCAAGAGGAGGGATTCTCTTACAGAGATACATTTGGCACTAGCGTGTACTTACTAGAAGAAAATTCCTAAATCCCAAAACCTTCTTAATGTTTTAGTCAGTCTGAAATTTCTCTTATGGTTTCTCTTCACTCATGGTAGCTGTGCAGGGTTAATTAGAAGATTTGACTGTTCCTTTCTTTGTACAGTGTCTGTGAGCAAAGACACTTGAGGCACATGCGAACTACAGTGCTCTGGAGGGGGAAGCAGTGCTGCTCAGGGATACTAATCTACCAACAGTATGAGGCTCTATCCTATATGCTCTCTAATTCATTCTTTTGACTATCTCTCCTTTTCCTTCCTGCTGTGTGATTGATGGCTTTTTATCAGATAGTTCAAGAGCTTATTTTTCTAGATAGAGTGAAAGAACACATGGGTGAAAGAATTTTGCACTCCAGGGTGCTTGTGATAGCAAAATTGGAGAATGAAACTGAATCTTATCTAGCTTCAAATCTGGCTATGCTGAAGTTACGGATTTTTGCAATGTGCCACAGTGTAGGATAGGCAAATAATAGCACCAAGTTAATTTTTGTCTGTTGGGGTAGGCAGAATATGAAACATTTTCAGTAAATCAAAAAGTGTGTTTCCTGACACACCTTTCCTGACATTTTGTTTTAAAAATGTACTTTATCTGTTTCATCTTCAAAGAATATTTAAACAATATGAGCCTAAGGTATTGTATTCTTTGAGAAGGTGTTCTGGTTAAAATTATTAAAGTTTCAGCTACAGAAATTAGTGTCCTTCTTTACTCCATAGATTGCACTGAATGTATTTCTGTTTGTTGAGCTTTATGAAATTCAGTGCAGTAGTCAGCTCATTATGTATTTCATGATAAAATCCAAAGAGCATCTCAGTAAAAGGATGAAAAATTTACTTTAGTAAATGATAGTGCAGAGGCTGATTTGTCAAAGTTAATGATGTACTGCCATTGTGTGTGGGAGAGACCCTTAGTCTGTGTAGATTTTACAAATACTGATTGGGATATAAAGGTGTCTGAGCACCTTTATATAAAAGCAGCAAAACAGTTCAGAGGTTTTTGTTTGTCTCCTGTGCTTCAGTTCTGTGTTTGGGTTTTATTGGGTTGGTTTGGTTGGTTTTTTCTTTAATTGTTGGTTTGGTTTTTTTTGTTTGGGGTATTTTTTGAGGGCAGAATGTTTGCTTTTTTTTCCAGCGTTAATCCTGAATTACTTCTGGTAATTCTTTTCCCTAACTTGGCCTGAAATTGACTCTCTCAGGACTTCAAATGCAAGAGAAAATGTGCTGTGCTCTTTTTAAAGAGAGTTCTTTGGGTCTGCTCTCACTCAGAGGTTTCTGCCTACAATGAATTTTTTAGTATTCCTTTGGTAGATGAACCATAAAGTGGAGCTGATGTCAAGAGCCACTACTAGACATGACCTTTTCCATTAGCACGGTTTGATCAGGAAGGTGTGTACGCACTACTGTAAATCTCCAATTCTTAGATTCACACAAACACACACCACCCCCCAGAAATAAAATAATACATAATAAATAAAAAAACCACAAAATGTAAAGCATGTCTCTTGTGACACTGTGAAGAACAAACAGTAAGCTTCCATGGAGCAATAAGGTGTTACGCCAGATCTCAAAAGCTAAATTGATAGTCAGAAAAATAGATGCTGTTGCTACAAATTGAGCAGCCAGTGATTAAAAACAAAACAACATGTGGGGATTTCAAATAAACCTGTCATTAATTCTATCAGTATTGTTAACATCTTTCACAGAAGAACAAGAGATGTTGATGAAATCTTTAAGGTAAGACTTGTAATGCAACTGTCAGGGTAAATCAGGTTTTGAATGTGGGACTGTTTTGTTGATGGCAATCATTTGAATTTTTTATGTTTTTCAGTCTAGGTGTTGTCCCTATAATTATGTAGTTGTTTCATCATGAAATATGTCTATTGCACAGTGGATATTCTATGAGTCTTTCCTTAGTATGGTAAGAAAGACCTTCCAGACAGCTCACTTTTCCTGAAGCAATTAAGAAACAATTATTTCATGTATAGTTAGCTGACTGTGCCATGCTTTTTTAATAAATAGTATTAATTCATTACTGGTAAGTGCAATAAATTTATTTTCTTGTTACTTTTTAAGTTGAGTATGTTTTATATTAGGATTTATTTTTTATTGCATTAGTAAATGTTTTTAATTGTGATAATTTTTATAACTTTCTGCATCCTCACTGTTTTTTTCAGTGGATCTCTCTAAAGCTCCTGTTGTCCTGGTATGGTAGGCCTCTGAAAGACTATGAACTCTGGGCATTATGTCATGAGTGTTTATGTACTCTGCAGACTTGCATAGATCATCCAGGTATAGTCTTAATTATCATAAAGTATTTTCCCTAGTTATTTATATTCACTGTGTTAATGTTTCCTTTATTCTATTGATTGAAAGGATCTCGATTTTCATTTTGTGAGCAGAAAGTAATAGGCAATATTTCTATTTTGACTCTTAAATTGTGACAAAACTCAGTTTGGTGTTTTCTTCCATATATAGATGAATGTCTTTTTTTCTCTTTATTCTGGGTTTTGATGGCTTTTGCAGCAGAAATGAATCTTTGGCTTCAAGCAGTGAAACAAATTTTAGACCTTTTGGGAATGGAGAATCTGTATTTTGACTTTCAAAAAAACACTTGTGACTTGTATCAAGCAGGAGGAAATAAGTTTTACATATATATATATATGTAAAGAAAAAACTTCCACTTTTGCCTGGATTTCTTTGTGACAAATGGCTCCTGACATATTTTCTAAAGTATAGGGCTTTGTCATTTTAAGTTGGATCTCATCATGGCATTACTCCTTCCACATCCCCTGTGCTTCAGTTTACAGAACAGAACTTCTGAGAAAGGGAGTGGGAACTGTCTGTTGACAAAATTGGAATATGTTGTGTGTGACGCAGGAGAAGACCATCCTAGATTTTCTTGGACATTCTGAATAATAATTTAGCTTATACTAATGATAAACTTTTAGCAGTTCTGATAACCAGAGCAGAGGCTTCAGTTATTTTATTTCTATGATATAAAACTGCTTAAGAGGAAATAAGCCATAAATGCAGATTCTGAGTACTTTAAGAATTGTTACCCATAAAACTACGTATTTAATATAGCTTGTAACAGAAGGATTATTTCAGCTTCATAGCATGTTCCTAATGTTTCTGAAGGTTTCAGATAACTGCACATAATGGCTCAGATTCTAATGTAATATGTTTAGCCAGCCTCTGTTACTGAACTCACATGCATCCGATTGCATGTCTTAAAAACACTAAAAGTTATCATCTGAACCTTATGTACTCTGTAGAAGGGAACATAATGATACAAACCACCAAATGGAAGGCATCTTACGTAAATTCTGTATTTGACAAATAAAGCTACCTTGAAGTTGAATATTGGTTTCAGATTTAGAATGTTTCTGCAAGAGGATTCTCTGCCTGTTCTGAGGAGAGTGATGAATTGTGGAAAGGTTTATAGTGCTGTTACTACTTCAGTGGACACACACACATATAAAGTTCTCTCAGCATTCCTTTTGAATAATATTAAAGGTGAAGCTGATACTTATTTTGAATATATCTTGTAAAAATATCCTTTGTCTTGACAATGGTAGAATAAGACAGCTGATGAGTCATGGTTAAATATATGATGATGGATTACTTTTTATTTATTCACATGGACAGCCTTTTCCTCCAAATCCTTCCTTGATTACACTTTTTTCATTATCCTAAGCAGGAATTACCTGGCTAAGAAAACATATCCCAAAGCTAGCCTCTTCCTCACATATTTGTTAATTCAACTCTGCTACAGAAGTTGTTTGTAACCTCCATTGGGACTTGACTTAATTCCTCTCCTCTTATCAGGGGATGTTGCTTACATGTTGCTCATGGGTGATTCAGGGAGCCCAGGTGAAGATTCTTATTTTACTGAACAAACTGAGATCTGGTTTGTGTGAGCAGGGCCAGGGGCATTTACTGCTGACAAAGACAAGTGAGTGTGAAACTGCCTCTGCAGAAATAACCAGCAAAGGTTCTCATTTGGGAAGCTTTGCTTTTCAAGATACATACTTCAGGTCCTGATTAAATATTATTGAAGATAGTAGACAAGCCTTTACTTATGTTAAGCATAGTGAATAATTTAATTTTGGATGTGGTTTCTACAGGTAACTAAAAAGAGCTAAAGTGTTACTGCCTTTTTGTCTTACTTTATTTCTTTCCTCTTAGACCTCGTCAATTAATTATTTATGAAGAAATTAATATTGGGATGTATCTTAGACATCTTTAATATTTTGTAATTAATACATTCAATGTTTTAATCTTTTACTCAGTTTAAGAATCTGTTCTTCCAGTACTCTGTTTTTAATAAGAAAACTGTGCATTTGATGGTACTTGAGAAATAGAGGACTACATTATTGGCCAGTTGGCTTAATATATTAAAACACATTAAATTAAAATGTGCTTTGAAGTTAGCAAACAGACACTGTTTTGCCACAAAATTTTCAACACCCGATTTATATGATATGATCTCATTACCTTAATGTTAAGTTCCTGAAGGTCTTAGGTCATTTAAAATAGTTTTAGAAGTCCATTACTTCTTTTTTAACAATGGAAAATTTCATGGCCTTGCAAATACCAACCTATGTAACATTACTTCCCTGAGAAAGTGTGATTATAACTATTTGTGAAAAACTGGACTTCATATCCTGTTGCCCCTAGAGCAGTTTTGGATCTGTCCACGTGTGTGTCAGCTTTCTCCAGACTATAACCCCCTTTTTTTGTGGAGTTGAAGGAGGAGAAGAGAGACTTAAATTCTTATGATAAATTTACCAACTTTTATTGGTACTTTGTGAGACGACTAGAGTATATCTACCTATTATATTTTTGTTTGTTTTGTTTGTTTCTTGACCTTTCAGTGCTGCATGGATGTTATTTAAAGCATCAGTTATTGTAGGGTAATTTCTGACACCGTAAATTCCTTGTTAAAATTATTTATTTTTATTAGTGCTAAATAGCTACAAGAAAGGGTACTTACTACGCCTTGCCCTTTTGTGGGTTTTTTTTGCAGTGGTCTTATGTTTGGACTCTGTGCTGATTGACTGCCATGGAAGGATCCTCTTTGCTGCTCCAAAAGCTGAAGGTAAAATAAGACATTACATGCTCAGCTTTCATTGCTTTGCAGGGGAAGTGGAGAGGAAAGCAAACATCTTACCTTTTGTTTCTGATTTCTTTTCTCATTTAGAATCTTATGATGTATTTTATTTAGCTCCTGAAATTGAAGAAGAGGATGTGGATACTGAGAAGGTAATGTGGTAGGTTACTTTGTATTTTATCAAAGGACAGTTTTATCCCTGTGCTAGTTGAAGAAGAAAGCTAAACTCTTCTAAGGTTGTGTTAATATTTCTCATTTCTCCCAATATTTCTTGGTTATCCATGGGGATGTTTTAAATATATTGATCTCCCATAAAATTAGTTGCTTCTGTAATTTTGCCTTCCAGAATTCTTGGAGTAACTGCTGACAATCTGTTATTCAATGGTTTTCCATAAGACTTAGTTTTTTCAGTTTGTTAGCAGTAAGAATTTGAAGTCATGTTTTCACATTCTGAAGGTTACAGTAAGATCAGTGTTTTAGATTGTCTGGGCAAAAGCCCAAACTTTTATTCAGAAGACTGAATAAAAATGTTATTACCAGTATGTTTTTACTGTGGAAACATTAAGAATGATGTCTTTTTCCAAAATGGTTTTCTTAGAGCTTTTTTCCCTATAGATAAAAACCATAAGGAGCTTTTAGAACAAAGATAATAAAAATGTCAAATAGCAAGGGAATGTGTCTCCACTGCAAGTACTTTTGAATTGCAAACTGTACTACAGTGATCTTAAAAGTTAGGGGAACAGAATTTACAGTACCTTTTTGTTATGTACCAAGAAAAGAGATTAGCTAATATGTACCTTGTGTCACATGAGTTCTTTGGAATTAGACATAATAATCATGAATCAGAAAATAAAAGTTCATAAAAATCTACTAAAACCATTCAATTTTCTGTAAAGCTGTCTGTAACTAGAAAATATTTTTATATCTTTCCTAAAATTGCTTAAACTGCTTTGATCCAATGTTTTTCAAAGGCTCCAGAAGCTTAAACTAACCCTGAAATATAATACAGCAGTTTCATCAGACAGTAGAAATTAATAATCCTAAAGTCTTTGTGCTTTGTTTGTTTTCTATAGAATATCTAAAGTAATCTGTTTCCCTGGTTTTTTCTACAACATTACATATAGAAAAAGTTGATGGGTTTTTTTGCCTTTTTCCTGATGACTGTATAACTCTCTAGTTACGAACATCCAGTTCAATTCATGGTATGGGAACAAAGACTGCTTAGTGCCAGTCACAATAACAGGAAAAAGAACTTTCTTTGGAGAATCTGATGGCTTGGATAGCAAGCTTTTCCTAAATAAATAAATTTAGCATACCCTTGGAGTTCTAAACATAAGGTGAAGGAAATTATTTGTGTTTTGATTGAGCTGCTTTATCCATTTTGTACCTATTAGTAGCTTTTGTTCAATACTTCAAATTGAACTGTTTATAAGATTATTTTGTTTGTAGTGAACTTACTTGCTTTGTTTTGTTCATTGCTGTTCACTTTTCTCAAGAGAGTGCCAGAAAACATAGTTTTATGGGAACACATTATTTACTACTGTGCTTAGGGCACTGAGCCTTTGTAATATCTTTCAGAGGCAACATAAAGTGTGGTGCTTTAAATTTCCCAAAATGGCATTTATAGTACATGCTAACACATGAAAACCAAGCATTAAGTGGACTAAATCTGACTCTGAAAATTGTAATTCTTCAAACAAAACAAGAAAGCTGGTAAAGACCAGTCCTTTTCAAGGTCCCTCATTGGGGCAACTTCAATTGGTGTAGCTGCAGGTAGCACAATAATTCCTAAAATAAATATGCAGTGCCTTATTCTTCTGACAGGCGTAATCTTCTCTATAAAATATGACTTGTGCTGGGTAGCTTGTAATTACTTTGTGCCACTTACTTGCTGAATTATCATGACCTTTTTTAAGTAAATTGCAGCTGGCCAGGTTTTATGGTAGAGCTCTGAAGCTTGCAGCCATCTTTTTACATGAGAAAGGAATTCCTCAAAATGGTTCTTTAATACTTTTTTTCTGAATAATTTCCCTAGGTAAAGAATAAGAGAATAAATTTCTGTTGTTGTCCCAACAGTAGAAAAATAGCTACTGTTATTGGCCCTACATGCCCAACAACTAGATTTTGAAATAGGCTGGGATTTTCATCAGCACCCTCAAAACCCAAATGTAATCTGTATTTTAAAAGCTCTAGTAATTATTTTTTTCTTTTTTTTTTGGCGGGAAATGGGGGAAATTTTTTGATAATTTGCTGTAATTGTTTTTGAAGTGGAGGCTATTTTTAGTCTGTTTAAATCTTTCTTGTCTCTTATACCAATAGGTCTGTGTTTATGGTGTTGCTGCAGTTCTGTGGATGGCTGCAAAATACAGTGTTCCACTGAGTCACAAACTAGTATTGCCAAGAAAATTTAAAAAACTACTTCTGGATATGGCAAGAAAAAACCCTGAAGAAAGACCTTCTCTAACTGCTGCAATTAAGGTTATTAGATTTATTTGTGCCTAAAGTCTCATTTTAGTGTTTTCAGAATCAAATTATTAACTTAATACTTGTAATAGGCTGATATCTAATTAAATCATAACCAGTCATTTTGGGTTTTGTTTTTAAAGTTACCTCCTTAGGGACACAGAGGGGTATGTTTTTAATTTATATTGAAATTATCAAGGTACTTGGACTTGGACAAGGTTCATAAGACTTCCTAAACTTAGATTGCTTCTAATTGACTATCTTGACTGTCCTTGTCCAAGAGTACCTCACTTGATTGAAAACTTACTTACTGACTGAAAATTACAATTTGTTTTTTTTTTAGACATGCAATCATTATTTACTTGAAGAAGGTATAAACAGCAAAAATATTTTGATATTATTGGGTAAACCCATCTTTAAGGTAAGAGTGCCATCTTTCTTTAATTTTGCATGTTTTTTTAATTAATTCTGTAAATGTATTCCAGTAAGATTTTGTTGCCTGAAAGTGTAGCTAGGTTTTGGGTTTTGTTTTGTTGGTGTGATTTTTTTTTGTTGTTGTTTTGGGTTTTCTTAATGTATTTTCAAGTAGTCTGTAAGTATTGCCTTTTCCTAGTTCTTGCTGTTGGAGTGATCACTCCACAGATTGTGATGCTCTGATTCCACAATCTGTATGGGTGAAGGACAAGTAATTAATTTCATAATCTCTCATTTTATTTACCACCCCACAGAAGAAATTAATATGTAATTGTTGGGTTCTGTTTGTGTTTCAAATGTGTGTGTATAATGCACACAGGATTAAATCAATCCATGGAACTGAGTTTGTTCAAAACTTTGATTACCTTAAGGTTCTGGTTTAAAACACCAAACTATCATGATTTCTAAACAGTTCTACGAGTCCTTAGACTTCTGTATGTAATTATTTTAGTTCCTCTCCTTGGCATGGCTAGGTTATTGCTTTGTAATATTCTAGATGTATATGAGGATTGGGGTGTTTTTAAGTAATATGCTGAGCAGAATTTGAACAAAGAAAATGCTAATAACACCAGTTTGGGCTTCAATGTTTATTTTTAGGCTATTGAGGAAAAAGTTTTGTCTCAAGATCACGTTGCTTTTGAATTTAAAAATGAAAAACATGAAATGGATCCTTCAACGTCAAGTCTAGGTGAGCAGTCAGGCTCTGGCACGTTTACTCTGGTTTAGTATTCTCTAGTTCAGTTCTCCACATAAGATTTTCTCAGTTCAACATGCAATTGTTTTTCTAAATTGATTGTTACTTACTTTGCATTTATATTTTACATATTGATCATCTTTCTTTTTGCTTTTAGGATTTGTGCCTTGTACCAGTGACAGTAAACTTGTAGCAGTTAAAGGACCAGTACCATGCCAGATTTCACTAAATTGTGAGAAGGCAACATTGCCTGTTGCATTCACCTCTCCTGCAACTCACTTTAAGCCTATTATTTTGCAACAAGATGCAAATATAACAAAGTTAGTATATCTTAAAGCAGAATAAGTTAAAGCTTACATTTCATTGTTAAACCTATTTGAATTTTCCTCTAAAAAAATCTTGGTGTTTTTTTTTCAGAGAGGTTCACACACCAGTTTCTGACCAGTTCAAGAAAGAGACAAGGAAAGAAAAGCATATGAGCCACAAAAAATCAGGATATATAGAGAACTCTGAAAGCTGTGGTATTGATGATACAGGTGTTGTTGAAACTGTACCTGAAACACCTGAGTGTGATTTACAAGTTCCAAGCCACTCATTCCAGATGTCTTCAGAAGAGCAAAAGTCAGGCAATACGTTCACTTCTACAGTTAGGTTACCATCACCATCTGATTCCTCACATATTCTACAAGAGAAGAGTATTTTATCTGACGATCCCTCCAGCTCTTCAGCTTGTCCTACATCTCCTAATTTTCTTCATATAAATAACATCATTCTCAAACAGAACTCAGAGAAAAGAGTTCTGACATTTGTACCAGTACATTTGGCCGTATCAGAGCAAATACCAAATAAGCCTCTTCGCTCAAGGATTGCTTATGATTGCTATCACAGTTTGCCAGTGCTACTTTCAAATACTATTGCAAGTTATAAAATGAGCATGCAAGCAGAAAATGATGCCTCCCTTTGCAGTGTGCAAAGTCATGAGACTACTAGTACAGAGAACCAGTTTGATGAAAGTAGCTCAGTTACTCAAACCAACTGCCAAGAAACTGAGTGTGCTACCAGCACAGACAGTTTTTTCACTGAGCAAGAACACACACCATGTACTTCAGTGGATAAAGACAGTTATAATTTCTTTGATGATAAAGCCTTGCCCCATCAGAGCACAACAAGTGACACTTTATTACAGGAAGTGATTCATCTTATACAAGAGGAGTTTGCATTTGATGGTTATTTAGAGAATGGAACAGAAGTTTTTGATATGGGTATGTGCATTTTCTTCTGTATATTATTATCATTGATTTGTAAGAATATTCCTATTAATTCTTTTTCTCCCTCTTTTGTTTGTTTCTGTTTCTTTTATTTTAAACAAGGTAACTTCATTTTAAACTTAAAGGAAATAAAGTTTGGTATGTTCTCTGATAGAATTTGTGAGAAATTTTGTGACCTCTACTGGGATGAAAAATTACTGGAGAATCTCTATCAGGCAGTAAATGGAGGAAGACCTTCACATTTATGGTACGTGTTTTTCAACTTTTTCCTTCTTACAGTTTAATTTAATTCTTTTATCCCTACTTCATGGAGGGATATGGAGAGAATATATGTTTTCTCTTCAGGTATTTGTATTTGTTTCCTGTAAACTGTTAATTTCACACTTGGAGGTTTTTCAAAGCTTTTTCCATGCAAGTAGTGCTTAATGGTTCAGTCAAAAATATTTTCTACTACACTTGTCTAGCTCCATCTTAGGAGAGCTGAATAATGGAAACCAAATTCTGATCAATATTGGTTGCAACCATTGATGGAGAACTTCATAGTCTTGTTAAGAGATTGTTTAATCAGAAGTATATTGTTCCTCCTGTTCACTTTGCTTATTCTGTTTGATATTAGTTCTTCATATATCATATAATAGAATATATATAAAGTTCTTTATATATCATTCTAATCACACCCAAGAAAAGGAAATTAATTTAGCTTTGCTAAATGTTTTGCTTAGCTGGCTTAATTTGACTGAGTGTTTCCTGGCACTGTTTTGTAAGTAGCCTGTTAAGTGACAAAAACCAGCTAAATTTATTTCTCACTTTTCTTATTTAATCTTCAATGACATATGTATCCACCTGAAAAATAATTTTAAGATTCATGTTTTACTGCAGCCTCCAAATGTAGCACATGTTTATAAGAGCTTCTTGCTGAAGACTGTTTAAAAAAGTAATCAATTTATGTCAAAGTTAATTTGGGGGCTTTTGGAACTACAAATTTGAAGTTTTGACAAAGAAGCTTAGTAGATACAGTTTAGAAAAACTTCAGAGTTGAAAGGTGTATAATCCTTACAGCAAATTTCAGAGATCATAGATTATGACCTCCAAATACCCAACCTTGGTATGCTGGTCTATTTCCCATTTGGGTTGGAATTTTTAAGGAGATACTGAAAATTGGTTGGAAGTTAGGCCCTTGGTTCCCTAAAGTTCAATGACAGGGTAGGAGAAACCTGAGCTGCTGCAGCGGAATTACAAAGACATGTGAAGGGTTATCCTGTATATGAACTTTTTGTTACAAAGTAGTTTTTGACAGTGAGAGATCATAATTTGTTATCCAGAGAAAAATACAGGTCTAGCTTTCACATCACATGCAAGGCCTGTCTTAAAATATTCCTCAGACACTGCTTACTTAACATTAGTTTGACAAAGGCTGTAGCAGTTTTTCAGTGTTAGCTTCTTTGATTTAAGATTTTGATTCTGACTAGGGGTGACTTAGAGTCAGTTTTATCCAGAGGATGAATCCTGAGTGAAAAGCCCACTACAGTAACTTGCAGTCTATAGCTATGGCTGGAGTTACGCCTTCTGGTTGCGTGTGCTCTGATACTTCTGTTAGAGTTTTGCCAAACGCTGCACAGGAAAATCTCTATCTTATTGTGCTTGAATAGCCATTTGAACATTTTTTTCTCACAGAATAACAACTGAAGCTGAACGTGAAAACTTTTGGAATTAGATAAATGCTATGAAGCCCTTTATGTGCATGATAGAATCACTTTTAAGATCTCATTTTACTGATGTAAATATAAAAGTATAGGAAATATTAATTTTTCCTAGTCTTGTATTTTCAGCATAACTGAGGCAGATGAAGCAAAATGCAACAATATATTCCAAGATGTGAAGAAATCTGAAAGCTTTCTGGCAAGCAGTGATCAGACACAGGGTGAGAAAGGGACTTCATGTTTCTAGATCTTTGTGTGTGCTGTGAATATATCAATGACAGAAGCTTTGAGACACTTTGCCTGTGTCTTCAGGAAAGCACTCTCCTTAACAATTATAGACATTTTCACTGAAACTGAGCATTATCAATGCCTTAAGGACATAAATGGCTTTTATAAGAAGCTTATATATGGCCCAGTGTTATTTTGTGGGATGTCATTTACTTTTACTTACTTTTATTTAAACGGATGTCTCTGTTGACATCCCTAAAGATGGTAGCTGTTGTATGTGGTTTTCTTGTGTTTGGGTAGATAATCTAGTGTCTACCATATCAGTGGATTGTTTATTTATACTTATTCAGTTTGAGTTTTACATTTCTTCTGACACACTTTGTGATTGAAAGTTTACAAAATATCTTTCAGTAACTGAACTCAAAACTGAGCTGGGACTGGTAAATCCTAATATTATAACAAAACCATTACTCTGTCTAGGCTTGGTGCATTGATGGACAGCTTCTATTTGGTTGCTGTTTTACCAGTGTGAGGTTTTTTCCAAGATAGTTCATCCAAATTTCAGCATTTAAACTTTGTTACTTCTCTGTTTTGAGCAAATTGAAAATGTGTGAGCTTTACAGAAGGGCTTATACACTTACGTTGTTCATTTTTATAGCAAAACATAAATTTGTAATTTTACACTTGGCTGCTGTTATTCAATATTACAGTTTTCCATTTTGGCTCAGAATTATTGCAGATGTAGAGCTAGAATTTACTGTGGAGTGTGTGATTTCTTTGCACCAGGAATTTAGGTTTGTCTGACTCCAAGGTGGCATATCTAAGCCCTGGAGCATTGCTCAAGTGAAAAGGGAGACTTCTGGCAGGTATTAATGCTCCTGTCAGCATTGTACCAACCTTTGACTGTCGCCTCAGTCCCTGAGGGTTGATAGTAGTTGTTGTAACTGCAAAAAAGTCCCATCATAACTCAAGGGATTGAGTCCTGTAGGAGTAGAAAGTTTTAACATCTGTTGGCTATATCAAGTATTCTTGCCCTCTCTGTATGGAATAAAAACTTCAAGACTTATGGATGGAAAAAACTCAAAAGCTAAGCATTTTACTAATGTGTGCTTAGGTCTGACATGTTTAACTTCCAATTTAAAGTTTCTATGTGTTGTTTAAATGTTTGTTGCATATGCATGGAAAATATTTCGTACTTTTCAGAAATGTATTGTTTAACTATTGCTTGATAGTTTTGAAATGTTTTTAACCTTTATCATTTTACAATGTGTAGTTGAGGAAAAAAAAATGTCACAGTAAGAATCTAAACCTACTGGTAGAGCACATTGGTAGTCTCATAATCATGTTTTGTATGTGCCATATTTAAGTTCAACAAAGCATTATAGCACATGACCATTATTTCTTTTCCCCCACACACCTTCTTTAGGAAAAGGGGAAGTAAACTTCGATGTGAAGGCTGAGCCAATGATAAAAACATCATTAGTTGACATAGATTTTGATGAGTCACCTTTGGATAATATCAAAAAAGAATTGACTCTGCAGAGTACAATCCCCATAGCAAAAGAGCAACAATATTTGCAAAGCAATGGCTGTGCTCCAGGCTTGGCAGAAGAAAGTACAAATTCAGAGGAACAAGCCATGATTAAGATAGCTGGAAACAGCTATCTGACATCTCCCAGTCTACCTGATTTTTGTGGCTGCAGTCCTGGTTGGAGCAGTGCATTTTATGGAGCTGAATGTTTTGATTCAGAGGTTCATAGTTACTTGAAAAACCTTGGAAAGCAGAAATCAAGTGAGTCACAAAATATAGATGCTAAAAAAGTGGTGAGTACATTGATTTTAAATCATTAAGGTACATCTTGGAGGTTAAAAGTGTGATAAAATTTGTTCAGTTATAGTGAGTCAAAACATAATTTCTTCTTTTAAATATTGACTCTTAAGCAGCTTAAAATCCTCAAGGTTTGTCATGTCTTGGCGATAAACATCGGTAGAGGTGTAATAATGCAAAGTAAAGCACGGTGACACAAAAGTGCAATCTCTGCATTGTCTGTTCTTAAAGTTGACTGGAAAAGCACTGTGTGCCCTTTGCACCAACCCCATGGTGGTGATATTGTAGAAAAGAGCTAAAGATGACTGACTGGAGCACATCACAGGAATAGAGCTTCATCAAAAATTTTTATACTTTAGACCTATCTGAATTGGAAAACATTGTGGAATAGACAGGGAATTTACCTCTGACTTCATTGCTACTCACCCCAGATTTTTTAGTGGACCAACCACTTTGTCCACCAGATTCCACATGGTCACTCCTTCTGATTTCCTTTCTGTTTAGAGGCTCTTAATCACCTTTATTTTGCTTTAACTGATGAAGTAAAAGCAGACCTTGAAGTAAAAGCAAGCAGCTTCCAATTAGAATCTGGATAATAGCTTTTCTGTGCTTTCCCTGTTCTCTATGTAATGCCTCTGTAGGAGTACACCTTTCAAAAATCCAGGGGGCTTTTATGACTCTATGCTAATGAACTATGTTGTTAAACCTTTTGAGCTTTTCTGAAAAACAGTGACAGGTTTTTAAGCTCAAATTAATTTCTAGCAAGTCCATCCTATTAAAGCTAACCTATTTACCAATCTGTTGTTTGATATATTAGCTCTGAGCTGTGTGTTTTCTGATCACTCTGCTTGTGGGAGTTGTCTGCTGCATTCTGTGAACTTACTGCATTTAAAATGTTGTTTCATGTAACTGGGTCACTGGTAGTTAACTTAGGACCCAAGTGCAAAAGTCACCACTTTTATAAAGCACAACCTACATCATGTTTGTTGTTTCATAATAAATCAGAAGCTGAATCCAAAGTGGATGGCCCATTTTTATTGGCTGGTAAAGTGATAAAAACTTTGATATGCAAACAATTATAAATGTAAATGTTTACTTCAAAATTTATATATTTTGAGGAGCCTGATATACTTTAATTTCTATTCATTGCTTAGATTAAGTAATTCTATAGAAATTTAGTTTATTTTTTTCAATTTTGTGAAATACATAAGTAGAAAATATGAAAGCTGAACTTTGAATTTTGTATGTCCTTTATTTCTAGAGCAGCTCTCTTGTCTGCCTTCTGACCTGTTTGTATAATAGCATGTAATTATACTTGTTTGGAAGCCACTGATTTCAGTCAGACTTTCAGTTCTTACTGCAAATATATGTCAGCTTTTTAAAGTGTTTCTGGGGCCTGCACTAAATTCAGGACATACAAATTTTAATTCTGGATGACTTCTGATTTTAAGTTTTAAAAATGTTCATGAAAACAACCAGATAGGTGCAATTTTAACTAAAGGCATATTTATGTGAACAGATTCAGACAAACTTCTTCACAGTCTCATACACAAACCTGCTCCAGTTCTTAAGTTGTAGAACTGTGACATCACTAATGTTTTTCTGGGAACAGGTAACTCCTGCTGTATCTTGCCTGTAAACACAGTTTGTGAAAGGTAGTTTCACAGCTGTGAAAGGTAGTTTTTCATTGTTAATATTACATTCTTGTCTGTTAAGATGTTCTTTTTTCTTCATATAAAATAATTCTCTTCTAAAACTTTCTTACTAGGACCACCTTCCACTTACAATTCTGATCAGAACCTATTTCTTTTTAAACAGGAACTAGAACAATTGCTAATGATTGAGACAAAAAATTACAGAAAGACCGTAAAGTTTTACCAGAAACTATTGCAGAAAGAAAGAAGAAGCAAAGGTAAGATGATAGTAACTTGCCAGTAATAAAATGGCTGCATGGTACTTTTAAGGATCTGTTCTGTAAATCTGAATCATTGGTGTTCTTATGCCATGTATTTTAAATCTAAAGGTCCTGAAACTAAATCTATGTTGCCCAAACTGAGAGGACAGCTACAAGAGATGAAATCAAAAGTGCAGTTTCTTGAACTGGTAAAGAAATATGTACAGGCAAGTCAGATTTTATTTCATTTGTACTTCATTTGTCATTTCATTACTGCATCAGTGTAACTGGCTGTTCAGATCATTATATGAAATGTGAAATGGTTTGTGTCCAACTGCTAAATTAAGTAAGATCCAAAAGAAATATTAAATGCAATTGCTATTAAAAAGGAAAAAAAATCAATTGTATGAAATGCAATTTGTCTTTAAATTGGTTGCATTTGTGTGAATTTTCCTCTTTAATTTCTTGTTTTATCATGGCCTTGCTTCTTTGAGCAGATGATGTATGCAGAGCAGTGGGGTGTGGAATCCTATGTGCTGCCTACAGTCATTCACAGTGGGAAGGCTGACACCATGGACATGGCACCTGTGGATGAATCATCATTGCTCCTTTACTACAACACAGAGAAACACCAGTGTAACAATCAAAATGGAGGGAGAGTTCTGCAAGCCGGTACACCACTTGGTTTAATGGCTTATTTATATTCTAGGTATAGTATATTTTACACATAAATTGGGAGTGGGTTGAAGCATAGTTGCTAAACCAGTTGCTAAAAAACTTGTCTCTGTGATAAATCCTAGTTACTCAACATTTAATAAATTCTCCTGTCTTCTACCAAGTTTTTGTTATTTCTGTGAACACTCATTTACAGAGATGGAGATGAAAATGTGAAAAGATCGTCTGGCTTTCATTAAACATATTTGATAATAAGTAAAAAACTACCAACTTTAAACTTTATCTTTTACTTATTTGAGGTTTGCTCTGTTAGTTGCCATGGAGTCAAGGCTTTATGTTACTGCCAGCAGTACAATTCTTCATATAATCATATAATTTCATCATTCTTATTAATAAGGTCTGTATATCAAAATGTTTAGGTTCGGTTCTACAGATTATTGCCCCAATAATCAGTCCTTGGCACCGATCAAGATGCAGGCTTATCTCAAGGTTTAAATGGGGACAGAGGTGTCCTTCAACTCTAGTGAGGGCAGTGTTGTTTGAAGGCACCTCAGCTGTAACAGTGTGCAGGATGGAAATTGCCAGAGGCTCCATCAGACTTGTGCCACTGTAGAGCTACAGACGGAGCAGCTTCCTCCCAGCTGCTTCTCCCACTCCATCCTGACTCTGAGACCCAGTTACTTAAACTGAATGCTGCTTTTCCTGGTAGTTAATATTTTGCACGAAGTGAAGAAAATGTTTTGGAATTGGACTTTCCACATTCATCAAGCCCAAACTTTCATGATTAGCTGTAAGCCAATAGGGAGAAAAGGCAATTAACCTGTGTTAAGACCTTGAGAGTGTGTGTATATAAAAAAATAAAATGCCCTCATTTTTAATGTGTGTATAATAAGTGTATTCTGTTGTTAAAGTAACCACTCCTCTAATTAGAGCTACAGGGAATATTTTTTTGCTTAATGTTCTTATGCTGTTATGATAATGAAAATGTTTCAAAGCAGCATCAAGTTAGATGATAGGAAAAAAAAGAAAATGTAATATGTTCTTCCGTACTATTTAGATTGCAACTCCTTAATAATAGAAATGTCAAAGTGATCATTCACAAAATTGAAAGTAGAGAAACTCTTTATAAAAGAAATTATGCTTTCAGGGTTGGCAATCACACTACTTGATGTATAAAAATAATTTTACAAAGAACCAAGGTTTTATGAAGAGCTTGAGAATTTAAAATGCCTATTCTTGATATTTTGAGGACTTTTTTGCTGTTGCTGTACTCGAATGCAAGTTGAAAATGTGTCCTGGCTTGTCTGAAGTTTTTCTTGTGCTTTACAGAAATGCCTTTATAGAAGGTTATGTGCAGCAGTTTCTTTACACATTCCGCTATTTCTGCACACAAGAAGAATTTTTGAAGTTTCTTCTTGATAGAATCAGCAGCACTTTATCCAGGTATAGTAAATTCCCATGAAAAACATGGTGAAAGCACAATTGAGTTTCCCCTAATAACAAATAGCTGTTTCTCAAAAGTGCTACTTAATTTAAATGAATTTTAAGTTTGTTTTTGTAAGACTCTTAACGAGCGAGAGCAAAACGAGAGCAAGAGCTGCATCTGACAATGTGCTTACTTCTAATTTCTGCTTTTCACTGTTACCAGTTTTCCACTGATGGGTAATAATTACAACCTCAGCTTTGTTTCCATAGAGCCATCGACTCCAGAGACATGAAATTTAGGAATTTAAGATACTACATTAAATACCAAATAAAACTTGTGGGTTTTGGCAACACTTATTTTTACGTAGGAATTAGTTATCAATTTTGGCATAATAAGTTTCTTTTTCTTCTCACCAGTGCAAGCCTGGATCCTTCCACATCCCTTACCAAAATATGTAACCGCAGTTTCTACATCCTGCAGGCATGGATTGAAGACTGTTACAGTGTAGATTTTGCAACAAATACTGATCTTCTGGGTACCCTAAAAGAATTTATTTCTTCCAAGGTAATTCAGAATTTCAGTAGACCCTTTAAAAAAAAAAACAAAAGACAAACTAATTACTTTTAAGTTATGGGATATGTAACATTTTTTATTACAAAAAAGCTGCCCTAAGTACAATTAAAGTAAATAAAAATAATGCTATATTTGACAGCTATGTTTGGTATGTCTGTTTTTTCGACTGGTAAAAATCTTACAACTGTATTGTAATTTTCTTATAATTTCTGGGCAATTGGGTGCTGTGTTCTCTTAACCTGTTTTGCATTCCCAGGTTGCTTCATTAAATGGCTACGGGGAGCGCTTGTTGTCACTGCTCGAGGACGCCTCTGCCAGGAAAAGTGGCAGTGCTGATCTTTCCTCTGGTATGGACAAATGTGAAGAGGAAAGTGAGGAGGGCAGAAAAACATTACATTCCCTGTGTAAAAAGCTCTCAGAAGATGTTTCCAGAAAGGTGTGTTTTTTCTTCAGACTTTAGTGTATGGAGCGCATTTGCATATATTATGTTCTGACAAAAACAGAAGTGTCCAACTTAATAGTCCAGACCTACTTAGTAAGAAATATGTACCTGCATTTTAAATTTTCTTTTGAAAGTATCTAAGATCCAGACAGTTCTGTAACCATGACAATAATCTTAAGTTTTAACTCCTGACAGCTGTTTCAGCAATCACAGATCAGACAATCAAAATTTTGAGAGTAGAGATCTTCATTCTTGACACTAGCATGTGACTCAAAGTTATTAGGAAAACTTTGCCTCCTTGTCAGCCATTATGGTTTTTTATTAGGCATCTTTGTAAAACTATAAATACAAGAAAACACCAGGAGCTACGAGGTTCCCTGCTAGAATTTCAAAGCTTGTAGCAAGAACTGGTCTGAACTTCTGTCTGTATTTACAATTTTATTGTGCTCTACAGCCCCAGAAACCAGGACTACTGCAGGCTTTTCCCAAAACCAGATCTCTTTACAGAGTGACGAAATAACATGTGGAAGTCAAATGTATTAATAATGTGCAAGTTGAATTAAACATCAGCCTCATGATAAAGGTGCACAATTCCATGGGTATACTGGGGATTCAGCCAAAAAAGGACAAACAGAATAGAGGAACATGGACTTTTTTTATTGTCACTGCACAATAATGATAATGGAAAATGGAAGAATGGAAAAGAATGAAAAACCAAGTACTTCTTGGAAAGGGATGTTTGATTCTAAGCAAAAAGGAAAAGTAAAAGATTTTATGACAGCAAGCTTGAATACACAGAGGTTTGTTTTAAATACTGATTATTGATTGAAATCTGGCAGCCTCCTGCTTAGACTCATCCACTGTACATTGTATTAGCTTAAAATAGCAGTGTTGAGTAAACCAATATGTTGTGGGCTAACCTTGAAGATTAGCTGAAGAGTTTTGCATGCACAAAGGTGTTTCTCTTAACAGCACTTTCAAGGAAGTTACATCAAGAGGAGATTTAGTGTTTGCTTTAGAGAAGTTGTATCCTTACTGTTTTTTTCTTACAGAACTTCTACTGGAAACTGTCCAAAGGTGTGGGACCAATTGCACAACATCAGAGAGAGCGGCTGCACTCAGGGTCAGCAGTTTTGCCAAAGCCCTGCTGTAGCAGTGTCACTGCAGAATCCTCGGTCTCCTTAGCTAGAGCCGATGAAGTGGGACCAGTTCTCTTGATTGAGTGCAGTGCCCAACAGCTTTGTTGGCAGCTGACACTACTGCAACAGGTACAAAGGTCTAGGTTTATTTGGAAGTACAAATAATATATATTTTCTCACTCTTTCTCTTCTTTCTTTACCATTTCCCAACCTTGTTTCAAGCTTATTTCATGCTATTTTATAAGAAGTTGAATTCAACCTTTCCTCTGGAAATCTCTACAGTGAAATTTAGAATATCTAATGCTATTCTTAGGCTGTGATCCATCTCATAATTCATGCAGGTGGGGTGGGAGGAGGACATACTCTGTCATTTTTGTCCCCAGGCATTTTAAAAGAACTAACAGCAGATATATCTTGCTTTTTTTTTTTAGGAAGTGTTTAATAAATGTCATCCAGTACACTTCCTTAATTCCAGAGCGCTTGGTGTTAAAGACAAATGTGTTGCTGTGCCAAAGTAAGTTGCTTGTTTTAACTGCCTTCCAAATCTGATGCACAATAACTTAGAGTGTTACACTTTTAATACAGCCAGAAACAGAGAAACAATTTAAATACTTAGCATTTTTTACAGACTAGGTAGCCTGTTTATATGGGTTATTTAATTTCAGGAGATTTCATATGTGGATATGGGTACGTACCTATGCACATGCATGTGTGTGGAAGGCCACATTTGCCAGGTGATTTCTTTGAAATCTGGAGTTGAGGCCAAAATATTTCTAAGAACTTGATCTGGGGGTTGCTTGAAAGGTTTCATTTTTGGTAGAGAAAAAGCGTCATGGATTCTGAAGTGGATCCTTGGTCAGGAATGTGTGTATGTATATAAAATCTCAAAGACATTTACAGTCTTACAGAATAGCTGAGGCTGGAAGGAATCTCTCACGATATATATTCCAACCACCCTGCTGAAAGCAAGGTCAGCTGGACCAGGTTGCCCAGGGTTGTGTGCAGTTTTGTGCAGAAAGTGGATGGAGACTCCACAGCTTCTCTGTATAACATTCCTGCTGTTTGTTAGGGAGGTGAATTTTTGGTCTTCAGAGATACACAGAATTTTCTTACAGTTACTAGAGTGGTTACTAACCTATTTAAATTATTTGCTCATCAGTAATTAATGTTTTCATCCAACCACATAGACCTAATTATTTTTATGATGGTCTACTTCTTAAATACTCAGTGGATTCAATAAACTTCTAATTAGTAGTTGATAACTGAACTACCTATGGTAGATTTTTGCTTCTAAGGATAGGGAATGAAGATCTAAAGCAACTAATTTTTCACAGGTTGCTCAATGGCCAAAGCTAGATCACCTGGTTTATATAGATTTTGGAGTTCAGTCATGGGAAATGACGTGTGTGGTGCCACTTGGTATCAGGCTCGATTTCTCATGTGGCTGCGGTTGTTGAGTTTGGGTTTCTGGCTGTTATTTTGTGTCAGATTGGCTGGGGTTTTATTATGCATTAATGAGCGGTGAAAGTGGTTCTATGTACAGAAATGTATCCTGTATATTCTTATTTTCTATCAGATATACCTACCATGTAATTATAAGGAAGAAAATGTAATATGCCTCACTATTTACATCATGAGGTATAAAGTCAAGATAGCAAGCAATGCAGAATTATTTTAAATGGTTAGAAGTTGACATCTTCCTGATCAAGGTTTTCTTTAAAAATCCAGTATCAGCCAGAATTATTTTTGCCTTTTTTTTTTCTGTATTTTCCTCAGGGCAGTTTCTGCTGAGGCAGTTTCACTTAAAGTCTGTAATCTATTTCTGTCGAAGTGCATACAAGACCAGTACCTTCTGCAATTATTAAAAAATGCAGACAGTATCAGCACCTGGGTTGCTGCTGAAATTGTAACGTGTCACACAACTAAGGTTTGTCATTGTTTATTGAGCTATGAACTACAAAACAGTTATTTATTTGTCATTATCTATGACTTGCTGTGTAGCAAACCTGTAAGATTCTGAAATACACCTGTGGGTGGGCAGTTAACAATTTGGTTTGTTGTCACAAGGAGGATCTTGGATGCTTTTTAGTAGCAGGTGTCAAAACCTAACAGAATGTAAGAAATGAATTATCTGAGGGGAATAGGGGTCAAACTTTTATCAAGGACACCTGAGTGACAGGAAGGGAAAAACTGTGTGAAGGGAGATGTTACCACAGTCAGCAATTTTGATAACAAATTGAGAAATACCTCTTCTCCCTTCTCATTTAATTTTATTGTGTAGATTTACTATGTATATATATGTATGTATATAAATCTTAAAATTTTTTTCAGAGGCAGGTGAGCTTGTTATCAAAATTTCTTCTTATAGCAAAATGCTGCTATGAACAAAGAAATTTTGCTACTGCAATGCAAATCCTAGCAGGCTTGGAAAATCTTATTGTACGACAGTTGCCGGTAAGTTGGGACTCTTCTAACCGTTTTGCTTAATGGAATCTTGTTCCAATATAGACATTAATATGAAAAAAATATATTCTGTTTTATTGTAAGGCATGGAAAATTCTACCTGCAAAAGTAGCTGAGATAATGGAGGAACTCAAGGCTGTTGAGGTAAGTATAAAATACTTAATGCAAAATTACATCTTCAGGGTTAGAGAAGGTGCAAGATCTGCTTAAATGGGTGTCTCTGCAGGATGAAAACCACAACTGTTACTTTTAATTATGAGTTTAATTTGATTGAAGACTTTTTACTCCTAATCCAAGAGTTTACATAAATTTTAATGTTAGTATTTCTTCAACATATGTCCTGTGTGACAAATCAAAATTTCAAAAGCAAGCTAAAACCTTAGATGTTAGATAGATGTAGTTAGATGCTACAGTGCATTAGAAGATTTCTGCAGAAGCTTTGCAGCTGTAATGTGTTCTGAAAAATCTTAAATGCCTATTTTATTATAGGCATTCTTTCATTGATCTATACAATTTTGAAACATACAGTAAGGTTTTAAAATGCAGTTTTGCCTGTGATTTAGACCAACTGAAATTATGTATGAAATGTCTTTTGATTAAAATTACTTTATTTGTGTACTTTAAAAAGTTTGCTGCCAGACGAATCCATAGTGTTGTCTTCAGCTTCAGTGCTAAAAGTTAATGTTCATGACAAATAAATAGATGGTGTTAAATACATGGAGAACTTGTAAAAACTTTCCCCAAGACTTAATGTGAGATTAATCTGTGTGTATTTTTTAACTAGGTGTTTTTAAAAAGTGACAGCTTATGTCTGATGGAAGGAGACAGATTCAAAACGCTTCCAACAATTCCATCAGCCCATGTTTTGGCTATGCATGTCCAACAGCTTGAAACTGGAGGATTCACAATGACAAATGGAGCTCACAAGTGGACTAAACTTAGGTAATTATTTTAATTATGTGTGTATATCACTTATATTTTTTATTATACTGTTGTCTAATGAGATAATGAGAGCTAATGCAGCATTTCACAATTAACTGTTAAAATAGTTTAATTTGTTTAGACATGTAACTAGAGGTACATATACAATAGAATAAAATGCTTGATGCCTTTGAATTTCCTTTAAGGTTTGTTTTTTGTTTATGCTTTTGTTTTTATTATCAGCAAAACAATCTAATTTTTTTTATGATATTCTCTTACAAGAAACATTGCAAAAGTTGTGAGCCAAGTTCATGCCTTTCAAGAGAATCCTTATACCTATGCACCAGATTTCAAGCTGCAGTCTTACCTCAGACAAAGAGTAACTCATTTTAAAGATGCAGACATTTCTGCCTTGGCAGCTGACAACTGTGCCAACTTCCATCAGATACCAGCAGAAAAACATTCTCGAAAAATTCAGGACACACTGCGCAGGATGAAAGCAACATTTCAGTAATTGAAATCTGTGTTTCAGCTGTTCTATTCTGAGTCTAGACTGTAAAACTGGATTAAGCTGACTCCATCTACTGGACCTATTTCCAAGCAAATACTGAAGTGAAGCGACATAAGATACTGTCTCAAGTTGAAATTATTATATTTCTTAACATGGAATTATAAAATGCTGACTAATGGGATTTGAATCACTGGCAACTGGGTGGCAGATCAAAAGAAGTAAAAGAGAGAGAAAATTAGAGTATAGATGAAAAGGCTTATTAATTTTGTTACTCTTCTTTAGCATAAATAATTAATTAGCCTGAAAACCAATATCTGAAAAATACTGTGGAAGAGAAGTTAAAATTCCAGCTTCTGTTGCCAAGCTGGCCTAGGAGAGTTCAAAACCCAGTTCATTAAATGTTGAATCTATTTTTATATAAACACAGTACACTTATATCCTGTCACATTGTGCATATAATTCAGAAACACAGATCCTCTGCTATTCATTGACTGTTGGTGTGTCTTGCTTTTATGTTGTATATTATGAAAACTGTAACTGACATAAATAATTGGCTGTCTATTTCTCCTAACAAGGAAGGAGAGGAATGCTATCCTTCAACTTTTTTTTTTTAGTTTGATTTTAAAGTCATCAGACTAACCTGTGTTCCAAATGAAAGTAAGATATGAATGTAAGTATTACAAATTCATTGCTCTGCTTTTGCACTCCCAGCATTGTGAAGACAGTAAATGTAAAATTGCTTTTTTTATCTGTTTTTGGCATAAGAGTCACTTTGCCAATTTATGTCTGTCCGTATGTGTGCACATTTGAGTATGGCTTTTGCTCCTGAGGTTGTTTTTGTAGATCACAGTGCTCCTGCAGCATCCAATAGAAGATAACCATGTGAAATTTGGATCTGCAACTTGTAAAACTGTGGTGCTAGGCTATTCATAGAGCTTATATTTACAAGACCTAAATGGCCATGAAATGTGTTGCTATTGCTAGAAAATGTATTGAGCTACTCAGGTTTATGCAAGGCCAGAATGTTAAGGATACAAATTAGTTAAAAATGCAAGTATTTCTACCAGAGGGAGCAATGGTAGTGTTGAAGGAGAAGCAGGGTAGGGCAAGAAACACTTAAGCATTGTTCTGAAATTATTTGCTTAGATCTGTGTTAAAAAAAAAAAAATTAAAAAGAAAATTTTCTGAGAGAAGTGAAGGGCAGATGTGAACTAAGTATCTCGTCAAGTGTTAGCGATGGAGAAGGATAAAGATGTAAGAAATGGAAGTGTGTACATGTCTGGTGTTTTGCAGTTGTACTGTTGTGTTTGACAGAAGTGCATGTGCACATGCTGAACTGTAGCTTTCTCAGTGTATAAGAGGAAGGCTTCTCCTTTTCTCTTGTCAGTAACAGCAATATTACATCTCAACCCTCTCTCATCTTCCTCAGTAAAAACAAGGTGTGTCCATACTTTCCTTTAAATACTCAGTTACTTTTTCCTACTAATACAATACTGCTAACTTTTGGTTCTTATTGGTTTAAACACTGAAGAACTCAGTCCTCAACAGGGTTTGCTTTTTTTTTTACTACTTCTAATATGATTTATTTTATTTACCATATGTAGGTTTAACATGTCATTAATCATAGTATTCTGACTTACCCTTAGGAAAGTAAATAAAGTTGCTATTTCTCTAAATACTGACAAATGTGAAAACATTTAATATTTACCCCTTCTGTCTTTATGATTTAAGAATGTTAATGATAGTGTTATCTTCAGACATACATTTAATGTATTTTATCTGTATGCATTTATTTTAAATAATTGGTTTTGTTAGTAGTTATTTGGGGTTTTGTCAATTAAAAATTACCATTCACTTAAACCCACACCTTACCTTTGAACGACAGTAAAATTTGAAGTAGCATTAAATTTTACTAATGTAAAGTAATCCACAAGAATTGCTAACCACATGATCTTAATAAATCCATTTTATACAGTTACCAGTCAGACTTTGGAAATTGCTTTTGTGAACTTTCTTATCATTCGTATTTTGCACTCATGAGAATTTGCTCGTGTATTTCTTAGTTCTGTGTTGTTGCATCTAGAAAATACTGCTTATTCTGTGATGATAACTGGTGCTATACAGGATTTTAAAAATCAGCTCATGTCTTCTGTAAGTGCTTCAGTGTATCAAACCTTATATTGGTATTAATTCATAATATTGAGTTATGGTACTACTTTGGAGTGTTTCCATCAATTAGACATTTCAGATTTTGTGTTTAGGCACCGCCCCACAACAACAACAGCAACAAATGTTAATAGCTAATGAAAAAGAAAATCCACTCCTTTACAAGGAAACTGGTTTGGTTTTGTCCATGAACACTGAGGTGTGTGTATGTTATATGACACAGATTTCAGAAGAAAGTTACATCTAGCATATAACTGTGCTGCTTATTTATGACTTACAAGCAGTAAGGGTTGACCTGAAGTTTTCTCTCTTTGTGGGGAATGTCCTTTAAAAAAAAAAAGAAGGGACAAAACATATCAAAGAAATATGTTCATTTTTATCTAGTTGGCAAAATACTATTGGCATCAGTAATTGTACTGCATAAGTGAGGGTCTTTGCAGTCTGGCCCTGTGCTTCTGTTTCAATACCAAACTAGAATTTTTTGGGGAAAAAAATTGAGCTTGTTCTTTAAGCCACAATTGCTACCAGCTGTCCTAGCTCTTCCTCATTTTTTCCACATTCCCTTCATCTTGCTTTTATGTTTGTTTGTTTTTCAAGCAGTGACCCATAGACTTCTGAAATGAAGTCTGTTCCTTGGGAGACGTTCCAGTTGCTTTGTGTATTGGTGCCCTTAGCAGATGTTTGCTCCCAGGATCCCTGGGGTTTTCACTCCTGTTATGAGAGAGCTGGGAAACGTGTCCTTCCTTCTTACACCAGCTCCATTAGCAATCAGGTTCCCAGCTCCAACACCTCCTGAAGCCTGGAAACAGGGATGGAATTCAATTCATCCTATGAACCACTCTGTAGAATCCCAAACCAAGGAGCTGGGACATAATTAATGAATCAGCACTGGTTCGTGATTCTGACAAATTCCTTTCCTTTGAAAATTTTCAACCACTTCTAGACTTTGCTTTGTGTATTGGATTGTTTTCAAAAGCATTGCTGAGATTCGTCATTTCTGTGAGTAGTCAATGTGATTTGCAAAGGATTAAAACTTGAGGAAAGTTTGTAAATTAAAGAAATATATAAACTACAGTTGGGAAGGGGTGGAAGCCATCATTTTTTTCAGTGTTAAATATACAGTTGATTGTTTCAATCTTTGATATCATAATGGTGGAAAGAGTGCAGATAAATTAATTTTCTCCCTCATACTTGCTTAAATACCATCCAAAGCATAACCTTCTTTAAATTTCAAGTGTTCTGTTTAGAGCTAGCTTTTTCTTTTTTCAGGAAGTCTTTTTTTTCTCAAAATACGCTTTATAAATAATGAGTTTTAAATGTATGCTGAGCTTTAACAGACACTCAAAGCACTGGAAATACAGGTTTGAAAAATATTTGAAAAGTAAAGTCCTGTGAATCAAACTTAGTTAATGAGTCATCTTTGGCATTTGACTGATTAGGAGATTCTTCACCTATAAAAGTTTTTTTCCTTAAGTTACTATAGGTAAAAGACACTGCCCTCACTACAGTTTGGACTGTAAAGGTGTTTTGGGGGATTTTTTCCCCCCAGGGGAACTTGTAATTTTTACGTACCAATAAATTACTAATTTGTGATGGAATATTCCATTAGAGAATTTTAAGGTTCATAGTCTGATAGCCCTGTAAAATACATGTGAGAATGAACAACTTTACCTTTTGAATTCCTGTTTGAAAATTCCTGCAGCAACCAAGTCTGAAGAAACTTTTAATGTGGCTGTTTTTGGTCTATCAATGAATGACAACAATTGTGCAATTAGATGCTTATTTGCTGTCATATGTGATAAAATTCATAAACAGTAACAGTAGTAAATTATTCACATAAATAGCAAAATTCCAGGATAATCATCTGCACAGTCATAGACTAGGATTATAGGGTTTTCTGGGGAAAAGGGAAAAAAAAGTCACTTCTTCTGGGGAAAGAAGTGTCTTGATATCTCTTCAAGATAGCTCCTAGTTCTCATTCTCTTGATGGAAGGAACTGAAAGGGCAAAGGACTTGAAAATAAAAGGTGGAAAAGAACAGATGACTCCTGAGGTGAGAGTACAGATCCACAGACATGAGCAACCTAGCTTTTCTCCATGAAGGTAAACTGCTGGTCAAAGATTGGATAATTGTGTTAAAGACCATTGTTGGGAACACAAAATCTCCCAAGTAAGTTTATTTAAATAAAAGGTAATGGACTGAAACCTGGAGAAAGATGTGAAGAACTTAATAGAGTAACAAACAACTAAGTTTTGATGTTTGATCAACTAAGCTGATGAAATACTGAATACCCTGGGCTGCATCTAAAAATTGTGAGCATGATGTATTTTGAAATGTCACCAGTAGTCTCTCATTCATTGTTTCTCCAGACTGGGGGATGTATTGAAGTACACTGTGCTCACATCCCAACTCATGCTACCTTCTTATCCCTCTGATGACAGCCAGGACATGACTTGCTCTGAGCCCAGCGTGAGCACACTTCAGATACAGCTTTGTGTATATAAGCTAGTGCTGGAACCATAAGGAATAATCTTACTGTTTAAGATTTTACAGTGTTTAGTATATAAACTGTTGAAAATCTGCATGTGGAAAGCAATCAATGAGACAACAGAGTTCCTGGTTCAAAGGAAAGAAAGAGATGAAAGAAGCAGAATAGTAACACTAGGCTTCAAAAAAGCAAACTTCAATAAACTCAAGGAATTGGTGCATGAGGTCCTGGGGAAGGAATTAAAACACAAAGGAAAATTCAAGAGAGCTGAAAGTTTCTAAGAAGAGTTTCTAAGGTCATATTTTAACAGTCTATCCACAGGCAAAGGAAAGAAAACTCAGAGAGTACTTTGGCTGCATTAGGGGCTCATGAATTACCTGAAAAAAATAAAAAAAGAATACTGGAAAAAAAAAAATAAGACATCTACATTACCATGAACAAATACAAAAGAACAGCGCAGCAGGTTAGGAACAGAACTGGACAGACAAAAAAAATCTGTCAGCAAGGGAAAAGCAAAACAATAAAAATGGATTTTTAAATATTTTTCTGTTATACAATAAGAGCTCTCTGCTTACGAGAAGAGGTATCAGATGGTG